AGATGGAAGGGGGCTCTACAAGCCTGCCCCTGTGCCTTGTATGCTCATGCTTTGCTCCCTGCTACGTTCCCCTACCATTGGCCTCCTCTCCTGCCTGACACATCCACACTCCTGCTACTTGCCCCCACCATTCCTACACTCCCCTGGCCCCTGCCCTCCCCTGGTGCCTGCCCCTGTACCTGATCCCCCAGTGCTGCTTTTGCCCCTTGAGCTCCAGGCTTTACCCTTTAGCTCCACCCCTGTTCCAGCTATGGTGGCACTGACCCTAGCAGGGCCTGGTAGTGGCAGCAGGCTGCTCTGGCCAGACACCACCAAGGCCAACATTTTGTAGCTTTCACTGTTCTTTATTTAAACAGGTTTTTTCGCTGCCTGTCCTGCCATTGCATCTGCAATATATTCATAAAAAGAAATCATGCCTACTTCTAAACCTCCATTTTATTCTAAATAAGCCAAGCTCTTCAGTTCTCACTCATATGATGACTCTCCATTCACCTGACCACTGCCTATACACCTCCTTTACTTTGGTTCCAGCTGTAATTTATCATTTGTGAACATGGCCAACCAAAATTGTACAAAGTATTCCACATGAGATCTCAAGAGTGACTTCTGACATTAATACTACCTTAGCATTCCTAAAAATGCCTCATCTGATGCATCCTAGGATTGTCATTTTCAAAGCCACATCACACTAATAGTTCATGATCATCTTGTTACTTATTAATACTCCCAGGGTTTTTTTTTCCCCCCTCCATCATTTCCAACTGATAAGCTCCCAGTTTAAAGGGAAAAAATACACACACAAATTTTGTAAAATGTGTATTACATATACATATACAAGGGTTGTGCAAAGCTTTAGTAGCAGATTCGATTTGGAGGAGATTCAGCCCAATTTGTGGGCCAAATCTCCATATCAAATCGGCAGACTCATTAAAAGGTCCAAACAGATTTGGAGATTCGGGCAGTCCCCACTCGCCACCACAGGGAGCTGGACCCAGTCTCTGTACTGGTAAGTAGGGGGTGGCGGGGGCTGGAGGACTGGGGAGGGCACCGTGGCAGGGATCCCTGCCCAGCCTCATCCACCGCTGGCTCCCCCAGGCCTCTCAAGTTCCCTAAACCTGTCCCCACCCCCCACCCACTCTGCCACCCAACCCCAGCATCTCAGCACTTAAAAAAAATAAAAAATAAAAAAAGCCCCGCACTCACCGGCTGCAGCAGCAGTGACCATGTTTTTTCTACATACCTCAAGGTACCAGGAAGCTTGTGAATGCTGCGACGCTGGGGTGGATGGAGCATCTCACAGGAGCGTGGGGGGCCCACCCACCCACGCGCGCACACACACACACACACACACACTCCCCGGCTTTGCGACTGGTGCCTCATGGGTCTGGGGGAACACCCGGGGTCCTCCCATGGCCGATCGCCAACTTGGGGGGGAGCCGGCGGGCCCCACATGCGCTTGGCGGAGAACCCAGAAGTGGACCAGAAGTACTTCCGGGTTCGCTGCCGAGCATGCGTGCCCCCCCCCACGCGCTCCTGTGGGATGTTCCACGTGCCACAGCACTGCAGCATTCACGAGCCGTGCCTGGTATCTCGAGATATGTAGAAAAAACATTTAAAACTGTGTCTATGGCTGAATCACTGATTATCTGAATCAGCATCAAATCTTCAGTTTTCGATTCAGCCGAATCGAATCAGTGACAGTGATCTGAACTGATGAATCATATCACTGTCCCTGATTCAGGCCACATCCTAATCCAAATCAGAATCAAATACAGCCCATTTCACACAACCCTAATACACACATATATAAACACACACAAACATCCATCCATCCATCCAAGTCCCTAAGAGCATGCTCTTACCTTTTGAAACCTGTATCCAATTGCTATAATTTTCAGGGTCATCCTAGTCTTTCAGTATGATGATTAATTTTAAGAAACGCTGAACCAAACTGGTCTACCTGAGTCACTGAGTCCAGCCCCTGCAAACATAGCAGCTATCTAAAATATGAAATTTTAAAAAATCCCAAGAACATCCATGTCAGCTCCTCCTAATGCATTATAACTTTCTTCTGTAATACATTAATAGCCATCAATTCATTTTTCTGTTGATAATCCACAAATCCTGTAAGGTCTCCCAAACAAGTCAAACTTATTTATACATCTTCATCCATGAAAACTGCTGGAACTGCTCTACTTCAGTGGTCACCAACTAGTCGATCATACAGCCTCTGACAGTCCATCTCAGTCTGTCAGAGGCTCCACAATCAGAAGCAGCAGGACACGTGTGGCTGGGCTGAGCCATGCGCCCTGATGCTGGACTGGGCTGGGTGAGTGAGGTAAAAGCCCAGGCAGCTTGTCCGGGAGACGGGGCGGGGGGAGGGCGGGTACTGATCCTGGGGTGCCAAAAAGTGATCTTCATAAAAAGGTTGGAGAACACTTCCCTACTTGTTTCAAACTACAGGCAACCCCCACTTAGTGCTCCTAATTGGTTCCTAAAAAAACAAGCATTAAGCAAAACTGAAAGTATTTGATGCCCCAAGATGGCAACCACAATTGTTTTTAATGACCCAAGATGGTGACCACAAACGTTATAGCAAAACTTGCTGAGTGCTAAGTGAAGAAGTGAAATTATATCAATTTAAAATAAGCATTAAGCAGGGGTTGTCTGAATTATCCTTTGGTTAAGAGAAGTACACAGAGGGAAACATATTACACACAAGCTGAAGACAATATTTGATATAAAAAGGAAATATGCTGCATTTCCTCATATAAAGCATGTCTCAATATAAACATGGACCCTTTTGATTTGAAAGAAAGGAAAAAGCATCGTTCCTGAAGTATAGGGTCTCCAGGGCTGCAACCATTCACCAGGGCTGGCTCCCTCTCTTTGTGAGGGCCATAATAATTAACCTGGCCCCTTTCCCCACTACACACACAGTACATGCACCCCAGCTCCACATTCCAAGCACGCAACTCTCTCCTCTACCATCACACACAGCATGGGCAACCAAGTTCTCCCCCACTTTGTATGTACAGTGCCTGGAGCCTTGCTGCACATACAGGTAACCCTTGCCATTCGTGAGGAATACGTTCCTGTGATCCCTGCGAATGGCGAAATCTGTGAATAGGGCACTGCGTTCACGAACGCAGTCTGTGTTCATGAATGTAGTACCCCCAGCGGCTGGGGGGAAAAGCACAGCTCTGGCAGCAACGGGAGCCCAAAGGTGGCAAGCACGGAGCTTCTGAGGAGCTCCAGTAAGTGTTTAAAGTGTATTTAAAATGCAGGTTCAGCATTCGCAAATACCTGAAATCATGAATGCTGAATCTGCAAATACCGAGGGTTTCCTGTATATCACTGGCACACTGGCCCTCTCCCACTATGCCACCCTGACAGCTGGAAGTGGAAACAGGGGAGAGGGAACTCTAAGACCCTAGCCATCTCTGCATCAAAAGCAGTGCCCAGGTAGGACTGGGGCCACCAATTAGACAGTCCTGTGCTATAAAATGCTTAATACTGAAATAGGTAAAAGAGTTATGCTCTGAAGCAAAATACTGAAGAACATAGTGAAATGTAAAGTGCAGTGATTTTGTTTACTTTTCATAAGCCAAGTACTGTTTCAGAATAATCAGCAGCAAGAGTTCTTTCAAGAATTTTAAAAAGTTTATCTTCAGTTTTCTCTTTTTTACAGGTTTGATTTGAATATGTGTAGAGAATAGTACTAATGAGCAATACATATTAAACCAAAACACAGGCCACAGGCCAAAATTCAATGTAGTTAAAACTAGGATGGTTTAATATGGTTTAAACCATGGGCTGTGTCTACCTGAGCAGGGAAGTATGTTTGCAGCAGCACAAATAGTATCGGCACAAATTTGTGCTGACACTTTGTGCCATGGTGCATGCCCCTGCCTGTGTGATTTGTAGTGGGTCCTGCTGCTCCATATGCTGCACAGGGGGCTGGCTAACACACAGGTTGTGACAGAACAGGGCTAGACAGCAGACAGCCCCCTTCTTGAGGCACCCTATGCCCCTGCCAGCTGGGGAGTAGCACATGGAGACAGAAGAGCAAGTGCTACCTGCTCTCCTGCCTCCATGCACTGCACTGCAGAGCCCACCTTGAGGCATCCTGCTCCCCAGCCAACCACTCCCTGCACTGAGACACATGGAGCTCCCATCTTGAGGCATGCTGCACCCCCAATAGCAAATTCTGTCCCAGCGTTGCGAATTAGCAGCACCATGAACAGTTTAACATGCAGCACATGCAGTTTGTAGCACTGCAAAGAGGTTCACAGTACCACAAACTGCACATGTCTGTATGTAAACTGTTCAGCCCAGTACTTTATTCTCCAGTCCACACTCAGGGTCATTAATTTGGAGGATGGCATTATCTGAACTGACACAGCACACTAGGACATACAATATAAAGATGTCAAAACCAAAATAGCACCCTTTTCCCACAAGTTACAAAGAAAATCACCAGCATTTAACATGAAGTGAGAACATTAAAATATATGCTGTCATCAACACTTAATATAGTATCCCAGAGGGAAAATAGGAGAAGAAATAAAGATCTGATCTACACTCCTTTTGACTACTCAAATATTTATGAAACCAGAAGGTAGAAAAATGAAAAACACCTGATGTTCCAAAATATGCTACAAGTAAAAGATAGCTTAATTAGCAGTTCAACTGTTTAATCCTTGTTATGCCATCTTTTCCTTCTGAAAGGGTAAACTGACGTGAAGACAAAAGGAAAAAGACTTCAGCAAATGTAAGTGCCCTTAGTCAATAGTCTCCATTCATAATCCATTACATCTGATTATATTCTTCATGCCCAAAAATAAAAATGAACACATAAGGAATATATATTAGATTCTGATAAACAGATAACTGTACCATCTTGAGCTTTTTTCTTGAATGAAAGCTTATTTGGTTTTTAAATGAGTTAATGTGAGTAAAACCAAACCCATAAGATAATGGATGAGATTCTGACTTACCTGTATCAAGGATTCACTCAGCTTCATTTCATCTACCTCCAAAATAATATTTTTTATTTCTTCATAAGGCATGCGGAAAGATCCTAGAAAAATTGCTGAAATTAAAAAGTAAGATATTAAAATCAAAGAGGTCAAAATATAAATAATCATAAACTGAATACAGAAATAGCTCTGCTCAAATTCAAGGTACTTACAAATCTAAGATTGTTTATTAGAAGGTTCCATGTGAGCAAAATGAATTGGTCTTCCCAACCATATTTCTATTTAAGATGTCCACATTTAAGAATCTAAAATTCTTGAATATCTAAACTCACAGGCCAGATACTAATCTAACACTTACTGCTCTAAATAATAGTAATAGTCAGTACAGCATTTACACTGCTTTTTTACATATGAGGTCTACTCTACAAATAAAAGGCTTTTAAATTTATTGCTATCCATCCTTGTCCTGTTCACAAATATATACATATAATTTGGGCACCAGATTGCTGAAAATAATTTGTACCTGCCAGCACATAGCATTCTCTGAAGCAAGTCCTATGAGGATCTCAGGTCAACTGTGTGATAGAGTAAGCCCTCCTGGACAGTGTCTGGGAAGCATAACCTCCCAGGAGACAGTCTGGTGAAGATAGCGGCCACTTCTGGGTGACAGAAGAGGAGCAGGCAAGTCACTGTACCTCTTACTGTAAATACTTGTATATACATTTCTGTATATAATACAGAATCGTTCCACATTACAAGCCTCCAGATACTACAGTGTCAGAAGTGGAAGGTACAACGTGCTGAAAGAGCTAATGAAAGAAGTACCTGAAATGGCTGCTGCAGAGTCCATAAAACTGCAAGTATACCTCCCAGTATCCTTGAAAATCAAGGGGAATGCTGAAAATGGCTGGAAAGGGTTCAAACAACAATTTCAGCTGTATATGAAAACCACAGGGGCAGACAAGTTAGAGGAAGAACTAAAGATGACTGCTCTTAATAGATAAAGACAATGAAGAACTGGATGTGTATAATGCCTACCATACAGAGGGGGGAAAGGCTAAAGAGAAAAGCCTTGCAAAAATAATTAAAATGTTAGAAGCTCATTGTGTTCCTATAAAAAAAATATTACCTATATGTTCAGGATGAGAACACAAATGGAAGGGCAATCAGTGCCACAAAACTAAAACTAAAGAAGTCAGTCCTGTGAATATGGAACACCACAGGCAGCTTGTAACTATTGATGGGGGGGGGTGGGGGAGGGGCACAATGTACAGATGTTCAGGATTTTTCTCCCAGAGCAAAAATGGCTGCTTCAGGAGAGTTTTTTTTCTGAAAGATCAAATTGTATGCACTCTCTTAAGCACAGTTCTCCATCGTCCCAGGGTGCTTTGTTCCCTTCATCTCAGAAGACACTGTCATTCACTGAATTCTGGCTAACACTCTGCAGTCTGTGACACTCAATCAGGGCTGACCTGTGCACTGCTGCCATCTGTGTCCAGGCAAACTAAGGCAACCTGAAGAGCATGCTAAAATGTGTACAATGAGGCCTCCTGGCTGTGCAGTGTCAGCACTGCAAGCTCTCTCCTTTTCAGGGGCTCAGTATTTGAAAGTTTGTTCAGGTGTCTCTAGATAATTTTTTTCCCCACAACCAAACCAAAACAAAACAAAACAAACAAAAACCCTGGAATGATTCCCCCAGCGCATTTGAAAAATGTACACAACCAAAGCCTCGCTCATTACAGACCAGATAATCCTGGGATGCTACAATAAAAAATTCTGTGACTGATTACTAAGAGAAAAAGACCTGATATTAAAAAAAGGCAACATGTCTGTGTCAAGCTGAACTGTCAGAGCTGATTTGGATCAGTGCCTCGACACAGTGGAACTTTCCAGCACAAGGCACGGTAAGGTAGGGGAAGTCTCGGCATGGTGAAGAGTTCCGGCGTGGATAGAGGTCCCGCCGAGGATATGCAGATTTGCATAACACGATTGGCTGATGTTAAATTATTCCCACGTGGCACCTGGCAATTGGCTCGCTAGCCGTATAAAAGGTTAGGGGCGTTTCCGCCCTAGTTGGAGAACTCCGCGATTTCCCCTGGAGTGGAACTCCGGCAGTTTGATCACCTGCCAACGACTCCCCGTCATCGAAGCCTTACGACGTATCCTCCGTGTTGCATGCCCAAGTTAGACCCGAGCTACCCGGTCTACAAGAGCTCCTCGATTAGCGACTAGAGATTAGAATTGTTGCAACTACGATTGAAGTGTGAAGTCACTTCTTGCCTGCACTGTATACGACTCTACAGTGTAAGTAAAGCTATCTCTGTTTTTCCAACTGATACGTGTCCCGTCTGTGCCTAATTCCGCTCCAGTGATAGAGAGTACCCAGCTGCCCATCACGGGATCGCAGCCGCAACCCCAGCAAGGGTTCCCGAGGATTCCCGATCCTCGGTCCCCTCTCAGCCCCCACAAGAACAAGCAGAAGCACAAGTAAAAAGACATACAAGAAATGACAGGAAGTGCAATCACTAAACCAGCAAAAGAAAAGTCCACAAAATTTAAGCTGGGCAAGAACAGTCACTTGGGAAACAATAGACAATGCAAGCATTGTGGCAACCAGTGTAAATATAGAAAGTGCCCAGCATCCAGGCAAAAAAGTAGACACTATAATGAAATGAACCGTTATACTAAAATATGCAAAGAAGGTAGGAAAACAGGTCAGTCGCATCTTACGTGGGGGTTACGTTCTAAAGCCAGCGCATAAGGCAAAAATCGCGTATAGTAAAATCGCGTATTACTGTACCAGCGGTGACTGCCTCTGCCTCCAAAACCTTCTACCACTGCTGCGGAGCCATGCTTAGAGCTGTGCAGCCGGCAGCAGCAGCGCAGCACGGGGTGGTGGTAGGGATGGCTGCATATTGCCCGGCCACCACCACACTGCCGCTGCCACCCGGCGGCCAGCCACACAGATCTGGGCACGCGTGCAAACTCAAGCCCCACCCTCCCTCCACCCCGCATATAGTTGAATTCATACAAGTTAAATGCGCATATGATGCGACTGACCTTTATTAAGTGTAGAAACACTCAAGTGTGGAGGAAAACTGTTCCTGAGTACACTTAAGGAAGAGCCCAATAACTCAAAAGTATGGCTAATAAGAATTCAGACAAATGGTACTTATGCTACCTACAAGATAGATACTGAGGCACAAGAAATTATAATCACCAAAAAATGAACTAGAAAGGTGCAAAGGGATCATAAAAGTGGAAGAATCTAATGCATCTATGAAACACTATAATGGAGGGACCATTCCAGTTTTATGAGTGAACCCTTAACACTTGGACACAAACATAAAACAATGGATCAAGTGTCTGCGATGGTACACAGAGGAAAGCAGACCGTTTTAGGCTCATACACGAGAGATACTTGGTCTTACTAGAAAGATGAATAACAGATAGACGTGGTAGTAAAGATGGAACTGAGCCAAATTTGAAGCACAAACAGCATCATATGAAAATGTACTCAGAGGAAAGAAGTATCTTCCAATTATGTACAAATTGGGTCGCGGGGAGGGGAGCAAGGCAGCTGGAGACAAAAGAGCCGCACAGGGACAGCCTGCTTGCTCTGCACTGTCCCAGCAATGTGTATCCTGCATGCGGGGCTGCACTGAAGGAAGTGGTGTGGGGCTCCGCCACCCAGAGCAGCAGGAGGCACGGCAGGGAGGGGACAAGGAGATCCTGGTGTGGCCCCACTGTTCCCAGCTGTGCTGGGTGTTGCCTGCAGGGCTACAGCAGCCCTCCGGGAAGGAAACAGGGCAGAAGTTTGAGCCCGCAGTCTGCCCCCTTCACAGGTGTGGGGGTGTGGGTCCCTCCTGCCCCCTGATAGTGAACAACATGGAGTGTCCGGCATCTCCATGTGTCACTTCCCTTAAGGCGATGTGGAGCCAGCTGGGCAGTCCCAACACCTCTCCACTTGCGGCTGGAGTGCCTGGCCAGGGGCACGTGAAATCAAAGCAGTTCTAGCAGCCATTAAGGGAAGCTGCACATGGAGGCATTGGCCGGGCACTCCATGTATTGCCCCAATACCACCCCGCTCCTCCAGCCCTGAGCCAGCTTCCACCCCAGCCCTGCCCCACAACCCCCAGCAAGCCCCATTTACCATTTCACAGCCTCTAAGACTAAAGTGAGCCTGACCTAGGCCTTGTGACTTCCTAAAAGTCACAGGATCCACCCTTCTCCCTCCCCCTCCCTGGACTTTCCTGCCATTTTTGCAAACAGCTCTTGCAGGTTGGAAGTCTACCAACCTACAAAGCTCTTTGCAAAAGGGGGAAATCTGTGGGTTTCTCTGCTTAAAGAGAAAATCCACATTTTCTCTGATAAAACCAGGGAATCTGTGGTTTTCTCCATTTTTCCATGGGAAACGGAAAACCTGGGTCCCTGCTGATGACAATAATTTGCCACCACACATTAAGAATGACTGAGAAAAGATCTGAATATTGCAAGAGTTAACACCCTTAAACTGAATAAGGACAAATGCCAAACTACAGAAATAACATATTTGCATCAGCAGCTGACCTCAAAGGGAATTTTACTTGATGACTCACAGATTCAAGCAATATTGACCATGCCAAAACCTGAAAATAAAAAAGAATTCAAACATTGCTAAGAATGCTGAATTATGCCCGCGAGTTTATCCCTAACTACACAGCTCATACAACTCATTTAAGGCATCTTTTTTCCAAAGACACAGCATAGGCCTGAATGCCAGAACATGAAAGTGAATTTAATGTTCTAAAACACATATTAGCATCATTCCTCTTGTTATGTTTTTTGACCCCTTAAAAAAAATCAAAATCTCCAAGGATGCCTCCAAAAATGAACTGCAAGCACCTATTACAATATCATGAAATTGATTGGTTGCCAGTCTCATGCATCTAGAGCTATGAGAGGTAAAGAAAAGTTATACATACAAATTCAAATACACTCCTGACCTGGCTTATGGATGTGCAAGAACTGACGACTTACTGCATGGTTAGAGATTCACTGCAGAAACAGATCACAAACCACTGACTGAAATATTAAGGAAAAGGAAAAAGGAAAAGTGTCTTGGAAATGCACAAAGATACAGCAACTACTTTTGAAACTACAGAAGTATGACATGACCCTGGAGTTCCAACCTGGACCCCATTTCACTTTCAATAAAATATTATCCATCAAACATTGCAAAATCTGATGGTCTGGAACAAACTTTAACCATACATGTGAACATGAAGAAAGCCTCATGCTATGTAACTCCAGGAATTTCAGATGAACTGGTGATGGAAATAGCCAAAGATGAAACATTGCAAGGAATAATACAAACAATAAGGAGGAAAAAAATCATTTCCCATTACATAGTCTCAATATAAAAATGAACTGTTAGTCATCTCAGGAGTACTCATGAAGGGTAAACAGATTATAATTCTTGTAGTGATGAGAAAAAAATTTGGAACAAATATGTGAAGGACATCCAGGAGTGACCAAATCAAAAAGCAGAGCCAGACATTAGGGGTGCACCGATTTTTTTGGCCGATACCGGTAGCTGATTATTAACCAGCCATATCAGCTGAAGGGAATGGGGCTGGGGCTGCCCAGCCAGGGCAGAGGAGAGCATGGGACAGAGCCACAGACAGTTTGTCCGGGAAGCACAATTCCCCGCCACTGCATGCACCCCTGCACAAGACATAGTGGGTATGTGCTGCCCATATCTGTGCACAGGGTGAAGGCAGGCTGCCTACTGCAGGCTGCACCAGCCTCTTCCCAGCGAGGGGCCAGGACCAAGGCTGTGCTCAGGACAGGACATGGTGGTACTGGGAGAGGGGGCTATGGGGTGGCTACGGGGAATTTTGGGGTGGCTGTAACTCTGTCCTCTTCCCTACCTCATCCCTGCTGTGCAGTGCCTGTCCCTGCTCCAGCTCCAGCCCCGTTCCCTCCCACACCATGAGAGCCTCAATCCGTACCCCAACACCCTTTCCTTCCCCCATGCCCCTCCCCCCAAAGACTTACCCACTGGACGCTGCTCTCCAAGCTGCTAGGCTGCATTCCTGGCCGCATGCATGTTGTTGCTGTGCACATGCATGCAACATTTAACAGTAATAGCTTTATAGTGACTTCAAAGAGTATTACAGTGAAGTCTTTTGCTAATATATATATAAAGCAAATATAACCTAATATTATAATATAATTAATAAGTGTTACTATTATATTAATATTAAAATTATACTACACACACACAAAATATGGCCTGTAATGAGTGAATGGATTCCAAGTACATGACAGAGAGAGACAGCCTTGGAGGCTGGTCTGACCTAAGACCATTAGCCTAAGGGGTACCTTCCAAGGTCAAGCACTGAGAGATTTTTGTATAGAGAGGCATCAGGCATGGGCCTCTAGGAGGCTTGAAGGCTGACCCCAAATACTAAAGTTGATATACTCTAAAAGAAGCTATGTTTAAATAAGAGTCTCACCCACTTCTACATGAAATACTGGCTCCCAAACCTGAAGGAAAGGCCTAAAAATTTACTATAGAAATACCATTTCTCTCACTACAAGGACTAGAAAAACTTCAAAATAATTTTACTACATTCTGATCTATCACAGAATAGAATAATAGAAAATTAGGGTTGGAAGAGACCTCAAAGCTAGGTACAGACATTCAAAAAGCTTGAGTTATGTGTTTTTTTGTAAGCAGCGTAGTTTTGATAAGTAGCAAACAGAACACACATTTGTACTTTGGTGGAGGGGGGCAAATCTTAGACTGGGTTCCACCACTTTTAAACCAGTCCATGTGTACTGAACTTCTGCTCAGTTAAGAGTACAGATCAGTTTCCAAATACTTATACGAGTTCAAAGTGCACAGGTTATACCTGGCCCAGGAGGTCATCTAGTCCAACACCCTACTCAAATCAGGACCATTCCCAATGAGATCATCCCAGCCAAATCTGTGTCTAGTCAGGTCTTAAAACCTCCAAAGATGGAGATTCTACCCTCCTTGTAAGAAAGCCTGTCCTAATATCTAACCTAAATTTCCCTTGCTGCAACTTAAGACCATTGTTCCTTGTTCTATCATCTGCCACCACTGAGAACAGACTAGGCTCCATCCTTTTGGGAAGCACCCTAAAGGTAGTTGAAAGCTCCTATTAAATCCCACCTCAGTGTCCTCTTCTCCAGACTAAATGAAACCCAGCTCCCTCAGCCTCTCCTCAGAAGTCACGTGCCCCAACCCTCTAACAATTTTTGATGCCCTCTGCTGGACAATCTCCAATTTGTCCACATCCTTTCTGTAGCGGACAGCCCAAACCTGGACACAGTACTCCAAATGTTACCTCAACAGTGCTGAATAGAGGGGAAGAATTACTTTCCTTGATCTGCTGGCAATGTTCCTACTAATGCAGCCCAGTATTGCCATTAGCCTTCTTAGCAACAACAGCACACTGTTGGCTCACGTTCAGCTTATTGTCCACTGTAACTCCCAGGTCCATTTCTGCTGAGCTGCTGTTCAGCCAACCAGTCCCCAGCCCATACTAGTGCATGGGATTATTCCATCCTAAGTACAGGACATTGAATGTGTCCTTATTAACCACATGAGATTTCTTTTGATCCAATCCTCAAATTTGTCAGCGTCTCTCTGAATCCAAGCCCTACCCTCCAGCATATCTACTATTCCCCCTCACTTGGTGTCCTATGTTATAGAAAAGCAATGCTCATGCAAAATTTGGAAGAAAATAAAAACAAAACAAATAACAGATAAATAAGGGTTAAGAGTTCTGCAGAACAGCGGTACACAACACTGATTTTTTTGAGGGGGTGGGGAGGAAGGCGAGACCACAGTAAAGAGAATGAAATGAGAAAGCTTATACATGGTTAAGCTTATACATAAGAAAACTTGCTTGCATATCCAGTAAACAAATAACATTACTTACACAGATTCTGTGCTGTTTTTCCATCCAAGATTCTCAGTTCTTTACCTCTTTTCTTTGGCATAACGATTTTCTTTTCCTCCATGTCTTCTACTGCCCTCCTAGCTGTAAATGTACATATATATGAGCTGATAATTCACAAATATAGTAAATTTAAACACATTTATTTTAGATGGTTTATAAAAGACATACTATATTATAATATAGTACTATGTATCTAAAAAGCTTTCCCCATCTGAACCATATCAGTCAGATGTTTTATTTGCTTTAAAAGAAAACAAAGGTGCTACCTCAATATATTTGAAGACTTTTAAACATGGAAACATACATTTTGAAGAATAAAAAAAGATGTACGATTGTGAAGCAGCAGAAGGACAAAGCATGGTTTACAAACTTAAATCAATAGGGAACTGACTAATAATTGTGTTGTTGCAAAAAATATATATCTATATATAGACATACATGTAGGTGGGGTGGATTGAAGTGGTTGGTTTATTTTTTTCTAGTTTTCCTTCATTCCAGTATCTTCAGCAACATAATTCTGATTCTATACCAGCTCAAAGCAGATGAATGCCATCTACTGAAACACTAATATCTGCTATATCATTCTGAAGGCTTCTCAGCAAAAAAAAAGGTAAAACAGTTCTGTTCCTGACATTTGGTTATGCTTTAAGATGATTGTTATATGTATTTTAAATATTTAAATAAATAAGTAGTCATTTATCGTCTCATTTTATTTCAAATAATATAAGAAATCCAAGTTTTGTTTTGTTTTTTACCTAACTGAAAATATTAAATATTTTCCTGGCACTTTCACAAACGTTAGTTAAATCAATCTTAAATCTACAAAGCTATAGTATTGTTGTTTCCTAGACTACAGTCATACATGTAGCATTTCTGCTTCAGTGAAAATCTGATTTCTTTCAAGCACTCATTAGCCACTGGAAACCAACTGAAAGGAAGTTTTAAGCAGAGGAGACTATTGCTTGGTTATCACACTTCCATTTCTTTTATTTCTCACTTCTGTCATACCATTGTAGGAAAAATATGTTCCGCTCGCTACCGATTTAAACTATGCCACTTACAGAAAACAGTGTAACTAAGATTTCACATACACACAAAACACTAATGCATAGAGACCAGACTCAGATACCTTAAAACTAAGCGGTTTTTTCTTCTTATGTATGAACAGTCATTTGCTCCAAGCATGAAACTACAAGAAATGTACTCAGCTGCAGTCTAAATTGCACACCACATTCACACTGTATTGTTCATCACTCTCCTGACAGAGGTAAAGGCAACTTCAGCTCCCAGCATTATCTCTTGAACTGGCCACCGCATTCTTTAGTAAAGTAAGTCATTTATTTTTTGCAAAAAAACTCATACGTTTTGGCCCTTGCCTTCAAGGAGTGAAATCTTGGCACTTTTAAAAATCAACTAGAATTTTGGCATTGATTTCACCGGGATCATAATTCTATCTCCAAAGTTCAAAATTAAGTAGGGGGTACTAAGTTTAATTATAAAGGTTTGTGTGTCTTTTTTCCTGTTTATAAAGTGTATGAATCAACTAACTCGCCCTATAGACAAGAGAGTTTATTCAATAACTTTTTTTTTTTATATACATGTACCTAGAACAACAACAATGATCTGAAATGAAATCTGAACTCAGAAATATTTTTAACAATCAAGAATAGTTATATTAGGAGTAACTTGCTCCAATTAAAATTACTGAAAAATCATAGCCCATTCAGACACTAATACTCCAAAGCATTTTAAAAGATGATGCATTATCAGGGTTTTCAACCTTTTTTTGGTTGGTGTACCCCCAGCAGCTGGTCGAGAAGCAGGGAGTCCCCTGGCCAATTGACGAGCAGGTCGGGGGGAAGGGTCCCCCATGTGCAGAGGTGAAACCACAAGCGGCAGCCAGAAGTGCCATCAGCAAAACCAGGACTGCCCTAATTTCTCCGTACCACTGCCACATACCCGCTGAGGCCTTCCCAAACTACCCCCAGGGGTACGTGTACCCCTGGTTGACAACCCCTGCATTAAGTGAACTCAGTTATGACAGGGTTAGATATAGGATAAATCTATCTGAATCATGTCAATGTCACTATGGCTAAAAAAGACAAGCATATACAGCAGGATAGATTAGAACCCTGTAGGTTAACTAAACCAGAGATGCAAATCTATCCCATCTTCCACCCAACTTCAGACCAACATGGCTAACTAACTCTAAAAAAAACCTACAACCAATCTTCCCATTAATGTCCTTTAAAGCACTGATGAAACTTCCAAAAACTCAAGGAACGTACAATTTATAGGAACTGTATAAGGAATCATGGGATAATCATCTAATGTCATTGAATTCAACAAACTTTTGATCCTTCAAGGGTTAACAATACAGTACGTCTAATGCGGCTGTACTGAACCATTTCAACTTTTAAAAAATGTAATACAAGAAATTTATTTTATCAATTATTTATTTGTAGCAATGTTAAGGTTTTGATTAACAAATGCCCACTAGTTGTAAAATCTCAGTTCTATTCATGTGCCCAAAAATGTGTTCAGATACCTGACAAGGCATCTATGTTTACAAATGCTAGTTAATCACATTCCTCACTGTGCAATGTAGCTTTCCCAATAGTGTTAGTTCCTCATACGTTGAGAAATTTGTTCTACACTATAGTTTCTGAGATAGTTTGAAGTTCTCATTTTATGCACCACTTCCAATAAGCTCAGAAAAAAATTATATAGCACTTCTGATTTGTAAAAACATGTGAAGTTATATTTAAAACATTCCCCCCCACCCTTCTCCTTGCAACATGCTGTTCTTTTGCATGTTCTTTGGAGGCCACCATCTCAGACTTAAGTAAATATTCTCTCATTATTAATATCCAATTTCTCCACATATTTACTCTCATACCACTTCCCACCAAACTGCAAAGCTTTCTTGGACACAGAGGCACCATCTTTTCTTAATAACAACCCAACCCTCCTTCCCTATTCTTATGAACAATGAAGATGCATTTCCAGAACACTGACAGTTTGACTCTCTGTTTTGAGATTAAAGTTTTATCCCTGGGCCAAAATGACAAAGGTCTGTTTTCTCCATGCATCTCCTACAGCAGAGTTAGACTGAAACTGGTAAGTAGCTATTCTAATATTACCAGTTAATATAGAAAAGCTCAATTCATTCTAATTTGCCAAAGGCTAAATGGGATCGCTCCCAGAAGTGAATAAGTCTAGATTTAGTTGGTGTATTTTCTTCCTTGAAAACAGGAGAATCTTAGTCTTCACGGACTGACTTCCCCAGGGTACCCATTACATTCCTCATGGTAGCAAAGATGAGAGAGCTCACAAATAAATTAATTATTACACAGCCATAAATCGCTCTCCTTACATAGATGCCCCCTAGGCCTCAAAGTATTCACAAATGTGTCTGGCATGTGAGAGATTGGGTAAAAGCTCCCCTCAACCAGTGTTACTAAAATTGCAGCCTTCTACAAAGATTCATCCCCCTGCTGGTCTTTTATTCACCTGCATATTTTGATTAATGGGTACAAACCACCACCATTTCCTACTCTGCTACTACTGTGTATTTTCAGATTATATTTACTATATGACAATAGACCGGAGTAGGCAAAATGCTGCTCGGGGGCCGGATGCAGCCCACCAGGCCATCCTATCCAGCCTGTGGGGCCCCTAAAAAATTTAGAAAATTAATATTTATCTGCCCCTGGCTGCCTATCATGTGGCCCTCAATGGCTTGCCAAAACTCAGTAAGCGGCCCTCTGCCCAAAATAATTGCCCGCCCCTACAGTAGACACTATGTATAAATGATACTAGAAGACTCTCTCTCAGGAACGGATTATCAAATATTCACCCTCAACAAGTGTTTCACCATATCAACATAAATTTCAACTGCATGAAACTGTGGCTAGCAACAGCACTATGGTTGCTATAGTCATTCTGAGTTTTTATGTCAAAAAAACCTCGAGTATTCATTGACTAACATAAGATTTCCATAGAGGTTTGCTGCCCTTTTTTTTTTTTTAAACAAGGCAAATGCATAATATACAATGTAAAAATGTATTACTTTAGAACTAGAGTATACAAAAACATATAAACAAACTAAACTTTGTTTCCTCTTCTCCAGTTTAATTTACTAAAACAATCATTTTGTCATGTTTGTATCTACATGTCTTCTCTATTAATTTGTAATATTCCCAGCAGGTACATACTACAGCACTAATTTTTTATCTAGTATACGTAAAAAACTTTAAGTACAGTTTATCAAGATAACACTGAATGTACTATTCATTAACACTGTACCAGCTAATAAACACAAATAAAATGGAACAAAGGGAAACCAGTTAGTAAGTCTATTCACTGGTACTCTTTCCTCTTACTATATCTTACATTAGTGCTATCTTTTGAATGAGAGAAAGTGTGTGTGTGTGTGTCTGTGTGTGCGCGCATGCGCATGTGAGCATGCATGCGCACACTCACCCACTATATCTGTTTTGTTTTATCTTTCTTGCAGGCAATATATTCTGTGTGGACAGAATGGGACTTTGTTTTCTTTTCATTATGAGATATATTAATTAAAAATAATTGTACAGTCTAAAGTGGCACAAGTATTAGCATATGTGTTGAATTATCAAACAGTAAACATATGCTAAAGCAAGCTTAAGCAGCATAAGTATTTTTACTCACAGAACACTACACAATGATAGACATATGGTAATGATCACCAATGAATAGGTATGAATGATGGAAAATGCCATGACATATTTTCTGTTCAGGCAGGATCTGAAAACAAATAAGCATTTTAATTTAAGTTTCCATAAAGTGTCCTTTATCATGACATCCAGAGGGTCACTTCCTCACTCATTTTTTGAAAAAACGCATGGAAAAGAAGTAGTTTATAGTTAGTCAGGTTAGTAAACTGACACTACATGCAGTTAAGCAGTTTGCAATAAAAGGATTAACCATGTGACTAGCAAACCAGAACCATTGTTACTATTATTATTACTATTAATTTAAAAAGCTTTCTTGCAAACTATTTTTGACCATATATTTGTTTCTTTTTGTACCGTGATTAA